ATTCTCGTTACTTAATTGAATTACTAACACACATCAAAGGATCCTTGTCCCTGACTTCGATAGTTTGATTTCGATCTCCGTTGGGCAGCTGCACGATCCTCACGTTCTTGCTGAAATTTCATTTTCAATTGTTGAAATAGGATTAAAATAGAAAAATTTGGAACCGTGTGTATAAGTACAATACTGATCTGGCTTAAACAATCCAGATAATTATTGAACAGTTAGTATTTCATTAATTTCATTAAACCGTGATGCAAAAGCCTTGTTCAAGTTAGTTAAGATAGGTGGATTCGAGAAACTTTGCTAATCCGAACGAGGCTCCAACTATCCATTATATAAGACCGTCGGGTTTCGAAGCACCATCTACTGCTCAAATTGGCACCAAGAAGCCTATTGCTTATTCAAGTGTGAGGAAAAAGTAATAAAAATTCCAATCAGGTATCCAATACTATAAGATAAAAAAAGAAGGAAAATGGGAGAAGAAAGGGGAAGATCGATTTACGAAGAAAGAAGAACAAAGAAAAGGAAGAACGTTCGGAGGAAAGAAGCATCGGGCATTCGGGTTGCATTCATTGGGCGCAAAATAGAAAATGGACGGGTTGCCGTCTATCGAGGGACGTATTAAGAATCGCTCGATCCCATCGCGACGTCTACCTACTTTCTTATGACGTTCGGATCGTTGATTCCGGTCTGCACACCGGCCGGATGTCGATACTTTATCCCATGCTTGTACTCTTCGTGCGATCTCAAAGAGAATCGGCGCGGGAACTCTTTGCCGCAGATTCCGCACACGTGCTGCATTTTCTCCGCGTGTGCATGAGCTTTGACCTTGTGGCAGACCAAATTCGACATTTGATTGAACCCTTTGCCACAAAGCTCGCATTTGTACGGCCTCTCGTTCGTGTGGGTAAACACGTGGTTCCTCAAATTGCCTGACAACGGAACGGTATTTAACTGTTGCCGGTTACATTACCTGCGTGCAAAGCCTACTTACTCTTTGTACAAGCTGTTTCAGAATTGTTGTTGTTGTTCTTGTCGTTGTTGTTGTTGAGTTTAATCGATCGGAAAAAGTTGTTCATTTGCATGATATTCAAGCGTAATACGATTTGGAGAACGGATCGATAGATAATTTATTAAATTATTATTCGTCTCCTCGATCGAAATTGTTCGTATTCTGAATATAATTCTGAAGAAACTCGTACATTCGGAGCGATAACAGATTGATAATTACCTTTTTGATGAAATCCTTTCCCACAAACCTGACACTTATGTGGTTTGTGTTCCGAATGGGTTTTCCGGTGTGAAATCAGTGTAGACACTCTGGAAAAATATCATTAATTAAATAAACGAGGATATCGTGAACAGCATAAATGGAAAAATCAAGTTTAAATTAAAATTTAAATTTATCGGAGTATAATTTTTCAATTTACATAGATACGGGAATATACATAATATCCGCAGGATTTCTTAATCGAATCAATTGTCCGTTCGCAAAAAAAGTTTTATATAATCCGTTCGCAATCGAAACTGTTTCAATTAAAATCATCGCTACATCATACCCGAGGGGAGGGAGGGGGACTCATTTAAAAAGCATTGCTCCACGAAGATTAATTTATAAAAAGACCGACGTATCCGACGCTCGTTAAAATTTTCTTTCCGTTCTCGCGCACAATCGCGCAATTTCCACGCGATTCAAAACGCTAATGATGCTCGCACGCGCCTCGTGTCATCATTTCTCTCCCCTGCTAAAAATTGTCGTCTCAATTTCTATATGAAACGAAATTCGTTAAAAAAAAAAAAAGAAAAAAGAAAAAAGAAAAAAAGGTTTCAAACGAAACTTCAAAATCACGTTAGTAGAGAAAGAGAAGAAAGAAATAAAATATTGATAAATATTAAGTGGGGAAAGAAAGGAAGTTTTGTATCATAGAATGATTTTGGTAGTACCTGTTGAAAGTTTTCTTACAAAATTCACAAACGTATGGCCTGGCGTCGCTGTGTATCGCCTTGTGCTGGCTCAGAGTCGACAACTGCCGGAAAGCTTTGCCGCAAGCCTCGCATTTAAAGTTTCTCTCGTCGGTGTGCGTTGGCAAATGCCTCATCAACGTGTACTGATGCCGGAACTCCTTCGAACCTGGATCGAATGTCAAACTTTCAACCGATTCTCGCAAGTTTTACATTTTTTGTTTTTCAAATCTTTCCTTTCTAGTTTCTTTTTTTTTTTTTATCTTGTGAATTTTTAAAAATAAACGAATTGTTTAATTGTTACGCATTTTTTAAATTTTGGAACCTTTTGAATTTTTAAAAAATTTGGAATTGTTGAAAATTTTGTAACGAATTACTAACAAATTCCGCATTCCCAGATTTTCAACGTCTTTCCATCTCGCTTCAAATATTTCACGAAATGAAGTTTCGATCTTGGATCATCTTTATCGATCAGTCGAGTGGAAGACGACGAAGGTCCTTCGACAACTGGATGCGAGTACACCATAACGTTGTCGTTGGACGAATTAACATTTTGATCGAGAATCTGTAAAAAGAATATACATTTTTCTTACTATATCTTATAATCTGGTAAAAAAGAAAGAGGGGAGGAGGGAGGAAAGAATGAGAAAGAATGAAAGAAAGAGAGAAAGAAAGAAAGAAGAAAAAGTAATTTTTAATTTTTTACTTTATATTTGAAAGCATCTTTCCCGAGAAACTTTGTCACAGCACCGTCAATGTTAATTACTTCAGAATCTATAGCCACATTTAGGTTCATGCAATCACCCTGGAAACAAATTAAACCGAACCTTTGTACAAAATATTTATGATGTAGAAAATTGCATACGCATACGCATGTGACACGTTATTAATAATTACAGTTAATAAAGGAAAGTTAATTGTCAATTCACCATTCATAATTACCTGAATTAATTGATGATCATTTGTGGACGGCAAACTCGGTACGACGGTGACATCGTTCCTCCCTTCAGAACCTGCAGTTTCCTCTTTCACGTAAACTTCATAAACGCTAAAATAAAACGTAAAAATATTTATTTTCCAATTTTTACTATTAACGAAACAAAATTTCTAATAATAAAATATAATATTTTCTTCTGTATCGATAAACGTATTTAATTTTAATTCGATTCCTTTTTTTTTTTTTTTATTTTATTTTTACAAACAAATCCAAAATCTTACGTGAACGCAATTCATACCAATTGTTTAAACTCACCTGATGACTTCATCCGGGATAGGACGAGTGAATTGCACCTGCGAATCCTCGTACTGGGTCTCCCCTAAAAAATTGAATAATACCGTTTTCAAAAAAAAGATATCTTTGAAAGTGAATAATCCACTTACTTTATTTATTATTCTTTCACATTAAAATTATAATTCGATGTTAAAATTATACATCGATATCACGTTAATTAATTTTGATTATCGTGAGGAAGATTAATTTCAAGTTTTAAAATGTTTCAATATGGAAACAGATTATTATGATTACTTTTTTTAAACAATTTTCCTGGAACTGGAAGATCGTTGAACAACTAATATTTTAGAGGCGGTATCGTTTCTCCGTTGAAACTCTTGAGAATCGAGGATTAAGAAGAAGAATCGAGCATATGTTTTTTAGTAGAAAAACTTTTAAGATTCTTTCTCCGGGAAAAAGGAGCACGATATTCTTGCACTCTAATACCTCTCGTGACAAAATAATTCTTTTCTCTCTCTCTCTCTCTTTCTTCATTTTTTTTCCTTTTTTATTTCTATTTTTATTTCTATTTTTTAACTTTTTTTTTCTTTTTTTTTTTTTTTTTTTTTTTACCTTTTTTTTCTTTTTTTTTTTTTTTTTTTTTTTTTAATTTAGTAAAGAATTGCCTGCTGCAACTGCTGTTACTTTACCGTTTTCTGTATGCTCTTTGTGAAATTAGATCGTGTCCAACTAAAAGAATTTATAATAGCTACGAATGAATAAATCGTGTTACTTATGTTATATTGACTAGAAGCTTGAGAGTTTCAAGGCACATATTTCTTTTTTGGATTTCGATGAAATCACGATAGCTCCACCACCAGTTGCAACAAAGATTGATCGATATTCGAATTTTCTTTCCTATAAAAACGTTCTTTAATAACTCAACGATAGTTAAAAGTTACGACGAGTTTCCACGAAGAGAATGATCTTATTAAAAAACGTGATAGGAATTTTTCCATCATTTCTATTATTATATATTTTATTATATATTCGTTCAACACTTTTTTTTTTTAATAATCAATGAACAATTTCAAAACTTACGATTAAAAAGAATAATTCTACGAATAAATAATAATAAATTTTTCCATTCTCCATGCATCATTGATCGCATCATATTATTAATTTTTTATCGATACTATTATTGAAGAAAAAATTAATTTTCAACTTGATGACAAAGGAATAATTCCAATTTAGAAATATTTCGTCAAAACTCCGAATCGCGAGAATTATCGCGACAGCAGAGATTGAAAACCGGTTTTCATTGTACGAATATGAAATGTTATTCCAACGAAATGATGATCCGCCAGTTGAGTGACACTGATTTAAATGGAACTAGCGATACAGGTGCCTTTTGAAACAATGTAACGCTTTCGTCGAACGTTCCGTCCACCAGAGCCTGAGACAATGTTGCTTCCGACCGCACCAATATTCCACGATACATCACCCGTACGACTCACTCGTTCCACTTCTATCTGTCTTCTATCGTAAACCTGTACACTATGTACGATGTATATTCAAGAGAGAGAGAGAGAGAGACGAAGAAATCGAATCGTTAACAAATTGTAAATAATAAATAATAAATTGTTAACAAACTGCGATAACTTGTAAAATTCTAGAAACAAGGGTAACGTCCACGTATACGTTTGCAAATGGAAATGAGGAAAAATTATTGGAGCTGAATAAAATATTTTGAAACAAAAATTTTGAAAGAAAATGAGAAAGATACACGTATCCTTTCGCGAAATAATCGCGACAATCAAATTTCTACCTCGTTCTCCCCCTTAACCGTTCGAGCTTTTCGCAGTTGAAAAAAAAAAAAAAAAAGAAAAAAAAAGAAAAAAAAACCCCCACAGAATAATAATCCCAATAATTCGAATCTCTACTTGAAATCTTGCTCGCTTGTGTTTAACATTTGCGAATTAAAAAAAAAAAAAAACTATTCTGGAAAAAATTAATCCCATACGTACACACAGTTGAAGCTGCCCACACGTAAAATTGTTCACGTAAAAATTGGAAAAAATAATTCTTGGACACAAGTTCGGAGCGACGATCGAAGGATTAAATCTGCCAACACCCACGACACCCTCCACCATTTTCTCAACACGTAAAATAAATTATACGTACGTATATTCGAGGCGGCGCACGATCACTCCTGTCAACTCCTGTTTCCAGATTCAAAGGGATACGAAACCGATCCCTCCCGATCCCCAAGTGTATACAAGCGTATACAGTATACAAGTTAATAGATCGCGTAAAAAATTCACAATCCTTTCCTCGTCAGGCATCGCGAAGAAAAACGGCCGCGATTACGCGAGCAGACGCGTACGAAGGCGAAAAAAGGAGGCGGAGGGCCATCGGCCATTAAGGAGGCGAGGCTTTGTTCCCGACAACGAGGAGAAGAGAAAAGACTGTCAAAAAGCGGAGGGATCGGCAGAAGTCCGACATCCACGGTCCTCGCCTTTTTTTTTCCGGTGGCTGGTGGCAAATAAACGAAAGCCGCCATTATCACAGCTCATTTTTCACGGGACGGACAGGCGACAGATCGCGACCGGTCGATATCGGCCGTTATTTAAGAGGACGGGAACGCGATCGAATCCATGGAGTTGGAGAGAAATCGGAGAGGAATAAAGGAGTAGGACGAGGATAAAGGAAATGTACGGAGGAAGGAGGGATCGGCTCGATTCCCCATGCTTTTCTCGTGCGGTTTACTCACAGTTGTATCCTTGAAGCAGGTTATTCTGGGACATTTCTCAGCATCCGAGCGTGTCACCTTCGAAACCGAGCCACTTTCCACACGTGGACGTCGTCTCGCAGCCTGATTCGCATCGATCGCTAACGAGGAATCGTTGCCCACGATCCCGAATCGGTTCGCCCATATCGCCGCCAAACGGGCAACTTTGGAAACGTTGCTGGCCAATGGCGTAATCCTTCCCTCTATTAGTTCTTTAAATTTAACCTTCGACACAAGCATTTCGTGCCAATTTTTTTTCCTTCCTTTCCCTTTCCTTTTCCTTCCACATTCGGATCCAAGTATCGGTATGGAAAATGTTTCGCCACGTTTTCTTAAGGATTTTCGAAATTGTTAGTTTTAGATGGTAGAGATAAAGTTGATTGGTAATATTGATTGGGGGAAATGGGTGGTGAATTTTTTCTCCTCCGTCCTTTTTTTGTTTTTGTTTCTTTTTATTGACACTAGTGGGAAGAGAGTATTTTGCGTTGAATTATTACCGGTATAAGAAATCGAGCATTTATTTGTTTGGAAATACGAGACGAGAAAGATTTCATTTTTTAACGATCGGTTCGTTCCATTATTTTATATTTTCGAGGATCGATAAGATAATGTGTTTACTTTTCGTTCGTTCACGATATAGATCGTGATATTATCAACAAAATTTTACAAGTTATCAGTTTGTAAAAACGGAAATAAGATTGATCATTGAAACGAGTAAAGATTTATAAATGAATTTTACAAATATACAGATCAATTGATTGTCTTATTCCAAAAGTAATATTGTAAAATGGTGTGATAATCGTTCGTGCACAATTCTCTAACCTACAATTTTCTCTTAATCTTCAATCATTCTCTACGCGACGATACGTACAAATTGTAAAATAAAATATTCTTTTCAATATTATATATATATATAT